GCTTAGTCCAAGGTTTTAGTTAGGAAACACGGGATCTCCTCCAGTTTAATATACAAATTCAAATAAGGCCAGTTAGGAGGAAAGGTTGTTATCATTCGGAGAGTGTCGAGCAGCTCCCATAAACTGAATTGAGACTTAATCCACTCCGTAGTAAATATAATACCACATCATGAAACCTGAAACTACCAATCAGAGTACTGTACCATTTTCAGAAGCACAAGTACTGAGGCCAGACTGACTTGTACTCAACTCACACCATGTCTCCAACACAAAAGAGTTATTGGCAAGAAACTTCAGACTGCTGGGGCTCCGCTTCTTCCTCTATGAAGCGGGAATTAAAATATACCTCATAAGGCTGCTCTGAGGAATCAAAGAGATAATATAGGCAATATGGTTAGCAGAGTATGTAGCATAAAAAGTGCTCAATAAGGTAGACTTAATAAAAAACAAAGCATGTGTTAACCATTATAAACAAATGGAAAGATTAAAAGAGGTGTAGCAACAGCATGTCATCAAATAACTCAATGGTTCCTGATGCTGAGTTTTCTCCCACATTTCCTCAGGATAGAAGAGAAATTCCTTGGAAAAAATACAAATTTGAATGTCTCACTTTAAGATATAGACATCCTTCAGCTAACACTCTCCCAAGACTAAGGGTAATTCCTCAAGACTCTCGTTCACTTAGAAATAAAAATGAAAAGCAACTATAAAGAATCATTCATTGTAACAAAGGGTAAGTTTATAAGTAGGAAGCTATGACAGGTGGGGTGCAAAGGAAAATTAATGAAGTATGTGAAAGAGCTGGGATCTCTGCTTCTATCCCAGGTATTTGCTATCTGGAGAACTCCTCCTCTCAAAAGTCCCCAGACCACCGGAAAAAGGCTGGATTTAGTGTTGAGATGTTCATTTCCATCTACCACTTTGACCAGATATCAGAATTGACAAAAACTATTTGTTAGTTTCACCAATTCCCTGATTACCAAAAGGCATGTGAACTGAAACAAGCTTTACAGATCAACCAGTTCCCAGCTGGTATTGCAAACGTCTTCCATTTGTTAATAGGCAGAATGAAAGAGCAGGGAGCAGGGTCCAGTCTCTGCTACAGCCCAGAGCTATGTCACTGTGGAAATCCCCACCTACAGGGATACGCCTGACGGCCTCTTGGAACCAGATCTGTTTCCCACACATCCAGCCTCCCAGCACATGTAAGCAGTTAGATTTCTCGTCATTACTGCATTTGAACTTTAAGAATTTGGAAACTGTCAACATAGAGCTCTCTGCTCCTGAATTAATTTTATTTCTTGCTCCAACAATCAAACATTCTGCTTGTAAAGCCGAGATATAAACCTCCTTTTTACATAAATTTGAAATGAAGCGTAGTTCAGTAACAATAATCAATGTATTAAAATATAATCATACTCAGAGGAAGCTCCTCCCTTGCAAAAGGTATCAAGGTAAAATTGCAAAGCACGTTGATTATTTAAATATGGATATTAAACAAATCATAATTATATCCCTAACTAGAGGCCCGGTGCACAAAAATTTGTGCACTCGGGGGGGAGGGGGGTCCCTCAACCCGGCCTGTGCCCTCTTGAAGTCTGGGACCCCTCGGGAGATAACGACCTGCTGGCTTAGGCCTGCTCCCAGGTGGCAGAGGGCAGGCCTAATCCCTAGGTGCAGCCCCTGGTCCGGCTCAGAGCAGGGCCGATTGGGGAATTGGGGCGCCGCCCCCTGTCATGCACAGAGCAGGGCGGATTGGGAGGTTGCGATGCCACCCTCAGTCACGCTCAGGGTAGGGTCGATTGGGGGGTTGGGGAGCTCCCCCCTGTCATGCACAGAGCAGGGTCAATCAGGGGGTTGGGGAGCTCCCCCCTGTCATGCACAGAGCAGGGCCCATCAGTGGGTTGGGGAGCTCCCCCCTGTCATGCACAGAGCAGGGCCCATCAGGGGGTTGGGGAGCTCCCCCCTGTCACGTACAGAGCAGGGCTGATCAGGGGGTTGGGGCGCCGCCCTCTATCACCCACAGAGCAGGGCTGATCAGGGGGTTGGGGCGCCACCACTGTCACACTCAGGGCAGGGCCGATGGGGAGGTTATGGCTCTACTCCATCACACACAGAGCAGGGCCCGTGGGGTGGGGGGTTGGGGCACCTCCCTCTGTCACCCACAGAGCAGGGCCGATCAGGGGGTTGGGGCACCGCCACTCTCACACTCAGGGCAGGACCGATGGGGAGGTTATGGCTCTAACCCGTTACACACAGAGCAGGGCCTGTGGGGTGGGGGGGTTGGGGCGCTGCACCCTGTCACACACAGAGCCACAGGGCGATCAGGAGGTTGGGGAGCTCCCCCCTATCAGGCACAGAGCAGGGCCGATCAGGGGGTTGGGGCGCCTTCCCCTGTCACCAACAGACCAGGGAGGATAGGGAGGTTGTGGCCCCGCCCCCTGTCACACACAGAGCCACAGGGCGATCAGGGGGTTTGGGCGCTGCCCCCTGTCATGCTGATCCCGGTGCCGGGAGACCTCGCGGCTCCGCTGATCCAGGTGCTGGGAGGCATATTACCCTTTTACTATATAGAATAGAGGCCTGGTGCATGGGTGGGGGCTGGATGGTTTGCCCTGAAGGGTGTCCCGGATCAGGGTGGGGGTCCCCACTGGGGTGCCTGGCTAGCCTGGATGAGGGGATGATGGCTGTTTGCAGCTGGTCACACACCCTTCAGGGTGGGGGTCCCCACTGGGGTGCCTGGCCAGTCTGGGTGAGGGGCTGAGGGCTGTTTTCAGGCTGGGACTGAAGCTCCCAACTGCTCCTTTTTTCTTTTTTCTTTTTTATTCTGAGCCAGCTTTAGCTCTGAGGCTCCAGCTCTTAGGCCTCCGCTCCTGAAAGCCGGTATCTGGTTTGTTTAGGTTCTACAATCGAAACTCTGTATCAACTCCAGGTCTGAGATCCCGGCTAGCTGAAAGCTGGTTTCTGGGGTTTTGTTTAGCTTCTATTTTTGTAACTATGTTTCAAACTGCCAGCTCAGAGGCCTGCAGCGGCAGGCGGGGAACGTTGGAGTCCTCCATCACTGAAGCAAGCAAGCCTCATGTTAGTTTCAAGCTGCCTGGCTGCCGGCCGCCATCTTGGCCGGCAGTTAATTTGCATATCGCCCTGATTAGCCAATGGGAAGGGTAGCGGTCATACGCCAATTACCATGTTTCTCTTTTATTAGATAGGATAACTGTGTGTGAGCCTAAGTATTAGCGAGATAGATTTCGATTACATATATTCAATATATTTATACTATTACTATAGATATCCAAGGAGACTCTACTCAAAAAAACCCATTACTTGAAATTAGAAGAAACTAAAATTGTAAAATATGGATCAATCAATTAAACTAGGAGAGTGACCTGAACCATTGTTTAAAGTGGTTTGTTTATAAATATGTGATCACACAATGAACAAAATTCTCTAGGAAAAAAGGATCCATAGATGCCAGTGAGTCACATCAAGACAAAAATTGTCTTTGCATGTCCTCCACGGAAGCCAGCATTATAGAAGATTCCTGATATAAATGAAGACTATTTTTCAAAACTCTTAAACCTTCTACCTTCATACAGAATGATGTCCAAGCTGCTAATACATCAAAAACCTTGAAAACACCTATTACTAATTCATTTTAATTCAAAACAATCATGAGTGGCATAGCAGAGAGACAGCAAGCTTTGTACCTGAGTAAAAAGCCCTTACCCTCAAGGAGCTCCAAGTGAAAACACGTCTCCGAGGGCTACCTATCACATAATGTGATATACCAGGCCAGCATTTTATGGGCATCGAGGCAAAAAGCCAAGATGAAAAGTCGGGAGGAAGGCATCCCGAGTGAGCCTTCAGTCTAAACCAGGAGGAGATATAAAGGGCATGACCTGATGATGTATATATGGTAATACAAGGATTAGACCACAGAATGCACAGAGGTAGTACAGTTGAATATAAACCTGCAAAGACTAATTGTGAAAAGCCTTGGACCCCATGGGAGATAGTTTAGAACTCTTCCAATGGGGAGACAGTCAAGGGATATTTTAGTGCAGGGAAGTGACGATCGGAATTGTGTTTTGGAAAGACAGTTCTGGTGGAAAGATCAGACTGGGTGGGGACAGAGACCCGACAAATAGAAGCCAGCTAGGGGGCCAACGTAACTGTTCAAGTGAGAAATGACGGGGGCGCACCAGGGCAATAAAGTGAAAGGGGGTGTAAGGAGTGAGCACTGATAGAAACCGGAATGGATATGGAAGAGAAGGATCACCAAAGACAAGCAGGCATTTCCAGCTTGAGTGACTAGATGGATGGTGAGGCTGTTAACTGACAGAGGAAATTTCAGAGGATAACATTTGGAAACTTCTGAAATTAGCCAGGATTTTTAAAACATCACTATCCTATATATGTTCATTGGAGAAAATGTTATGACATCCAAGTTAAATAAAAGTATGCCTAGGTTAGCATTGGAATTAAGTAAACTTTGACATTTTCAATTCAAGCAAACATACCCTTCTTAGCTAAATCCACAGTCAAAACTCTACTTTCTACATGGTAATAGCTCACGAAGTTTCTTAAGTTATACCTCTATGCTCTCATTTCTCTAATTATTTCCTATGAATATCCTGTGTTTGTAAATCAGACCTTCCCAAGCCCTAGAATTTAAATAGCAGTACAAATATTTCGTACTGTTCTCAAAGAACATGTACGTTTAGAGCTCATGTGCAGCACTCCAATTGTGCCACTAAAAATTACCAGAAAAGGGCTGTGTAAATGCATGTGGATGCAGAAAATAGAAGGAAAAGAAAGGCAACCTCTTCCCACAGTGTTATAATTTGGCCCTCATAAATTTCCTGGAAGAAGAAGGAATTGGAGCAGGCAGGTGTAAAGATGAGTCAGGCTGCAGACATGGCAGTTACCTGGAGAGCTGGAATGGTTTGGGAGATGTTTATAAAAGAGAGAAGACAAGCTTAAGGGAATGGATACATTACCTTCAACATCATGACTCAGGTAATTACGCACTTCGTTCAAAATGAAGTTGATGTCTTCTTCCGAAGGAATAGGATGGTGTGTAATATTGGTTGGAGTGTCGGTAGTGCCAGCTATAGTCATCTTTTGCCACGGTAAGAAGAAAATAACTCGCCCATCACTGGTTGCTGGGTCAAGAAGTCCCATGCTCTCTGGGCTGAGATAAAAGGAATATTTTTTTATTTTTGAAATTAGTAAAAATTTAATCTTAATCTACAACCTATTTTATTCATCACATCTCATATAAATAAACAAGAACAACATGAGCTATCATTTTTACTGCCACTAAATTAACCTAAAAATTCCTTTGAAAACAAAATTGGCCCAGGCTGTGTGTCAGTTCTGTGTAGCATCATCCTATACACTAAAAGGTTGCAGGTTAAATTCCCATCCAGGGCACATACCTAGGTTGTGGGTTCAATTCCCAGTCAGTACATATATGGAGAGCAACCAATCAATCTCTCTCTCTCTCTCTCTCTCTCTCTCTCTCTCTCGGTTCAATCCCTAGTCAGTACATATATAGAGAGCAACCAATCTCTCTCTCTCTCTCTCTCTCTCTCTCTCTCTCTCTCTCTCTCTCCCCCCCTCCCCCTTTCTCTGTAAAAATCAATTAAAAACACATTCTCTGGTGAGGATAAAAAATAAAAAAAAAAAAACACTTTGGTAACAAAAAGTAATGGAGCAAGTGTGATAATGCTAACATTGCACAGTAGAACCAACCCTTCCCATCTCAGAAATGCAAGGTTAATTATGAAAATGGACTTCAAGTTACAATTGTTTGGGATTTTATATTCCTTGGACAATTCACATGAGATAATGTCAGCGAGATAAATGTCTATAATTTCTTTTATGATGGTCAATTAAAGATAGCTCTTCAACCTTTTTTAAAGTCTATGAAAAGTATTTTCCTGGGACATTTGACATTTGGCACATCTTTTAGTAGAAGGTCTCAGAAGCACATGAGAAAAGTGAAGGGTCCACTTTCTAGAAACTAAAATGTAATCAAAAAGTTCTTTACTTCTTTTTACCTAGATCAGTGGTTCTCAACCTTTCTAATGCTGCGACCCTTTAATACAGTTCCTCATGTTGTGGTGACCCCCAATTTCATTGTTACAAATTGAACATAATTAAAGCATAGTGATTAATCACAAAAACAATGTGTAATTATATATGTGTTTTACGATGGTCTTAGGCGACCCCTGTGAAAGGGTCGTTCGACCCCCCCAAAGGGGTCGCAACCCACAGGTTAAGAACCGCTGACCTAGATGACCTTGTACCACTTGACCAAATATGAGATTTCTTACTTTATTTCAATTTTGCAGAAATCTCAAGCAGTACAGCCATAAGAAAGGGGCTCAGTTTTCTACTACTAAAATAATAATGTACTAGGATAAGGCCAAAAAGGAGAACGTGATGAAAATCTTTACACAGAGAGAAGGCACTAGTGCATCATGCTATGAAATCGAAGTTCAAGGATGCCTCTTCTGGAAGATTACATAAAATCTTCCAAAATATTAATCAAGAATTTTCACTAACATGTGCTTATATTCTAAAACCAAATTAGAAAACACACTTGAAAGGATAGGCAACTATAAAAAAATTTAACAAAACCCCATCCAATAGTGTTATTAAATCACTAGAAACTATTATTTGAATGTATTCATTAACCATTCAAAGACATTTGGAGAAGTTGTTAAAGGAGTGGAAGGAATCTGAAAGTATCGTATTCAAATAGGACACGACAAATCTTCAGAAGGCTGTTTCTATTTGACTGAATTCTCAAAGCAAGCCAGGGTTAACAGTATTTACTGGGAGCTATTTTCAGCTTCTATTAATGCAATTTCTGAAATAGGAAACACAATTCTATTTGGTTTAAATAAATTTTTAAGATATCTCTCTTATACCCACAAACTTAAAAGGGCATATAGTCAACCTTTTATGTTTATCAATCCCTTTAAAATTTTTTTAATCCCAATTGATTCACATACATAAAGATTAGACTATAACAACTCCTAAAATAAAAAATATTGTTTTGCCCTGGTCAGTGTTGTTCAGTTGGTTAGCACATCGTCCTGTACACTGAAAGGTGGTGGGTTCTATTCCCAGTCAGGGCATACACCCAGGTTTTGGGTTTGATCCCCAGTCAAGGCTCATGCGGGAAGCAACCGATCAATGTTTCTCACATGTCATATGGATGTCTCTCTCTCTCTCTCTCTCTCTCTCTCTCTCTCTTCCTCTTTCTGTCTCTCTCCCTTTCTCTTGTTCTCTCTAAAATCATTAAAAAAAAAAAAAGTCTTATTTAAAGGAAATCCACAGTAAGCTTAGGTAATGCACTTTCTTTAAACCACAAGGAATACTAATCTTTCTTTGCAAAACCCATCAGCCTCATGATATGCCTGCTATGTCTATACAGCCTTTGGAGAAAGAAATCACTGTCTACAACCTACTTGAAAGACACAGGAGAGAGAGGGCCACAGTCCCCACTTAGCACATGCAAAAAGCACCACAGAAGTATGTCAGTCATTTAAAACTTCAACTAAGATTTCATCTTTACTCAGGGTTACTTAAAGAAAGTATTTTTACTTTCATTTTTATATATAGAAAACTATAAGTCTGGAGTATTTTCAGCCTCTGTATGACTATTTTTTTCTTTATATTTATTATAAGATTCTCTTAAAATCTTTAAAAAAATTAGTTAAGTGTGTGTTTTGTAAGCACCTAATTTGATTCTGGGTTAATATGCCCTTACATTAAATCAGTCACTTTGGGATTGGAAATTTAACTCATTCAGAGTTCAAGGTTTCAATTTTGTAAGTAGTACTACATTGAAACAAAAAGATAAATTCCATATTCCAACAAATTATATCTTGGCATATCTTATACATTATCTTGGCATATCTTATACATGGTCATCTTTATAGAATAGATATCATGTAATACACCTATATAACTCAATAAACCTCATCAACTTCAGCATAAAATTATAATATACAGCAACCTAGACATGAAATGCTGTTAGAAAAGCATAACTACTGAATCCTTTAAAACCTTCCAATGCAATAAAAGCAGTTTAAAGGGTGAAGGTGATGGTTACCAACACACGTAACTGGAACCTGTAGAGAATCAACTGCTTAAGTGAAGACATATGTGTCAAACATAAAATTAACAAGCACAGAGGGAAGACAAAGCTATTAATGTCTGGTATAAAAATTTAAGAATCCATTTGGAAATAGCTTTCATCAGTTCTAAATTACCTAATTCATGCTCTCCCTTAGGGAAAAGTTTGTTTTCTTATAAAGAATTAATTCTGCACCGTTACACTAAAGTTTGAAAATGGATATCAACTATGTATATCAACTATAACAGAGTGAGGCATAGGTCTTTTTCAATATGTATGATTCACTTGACATCAGGAGCAAAAAAGCTTCCTGCTAATTTGTGTGTGTGTGTGTGTGTGTGTGTGCATAGGATTAAATGTAACGAACAATTTTCTCATGCAGACTATTGCCTTCCTGAAGTACTAGTACCTATATTTAAACTGAAATCAATTTATTAATTACGTAGCAATCAGTGGTAGAACTAACAGCATGCAGACACTTATAGGGGAAAAAAAAAACTGACCTCTTGTCAGTGGTAAAAAACCTTTAGGCTATAAGGAGGAGATGCTTTTCATGCATTTCAGCCATTTGGCGTATTGTTGCTGCTTTCATAAGAGCATAGCCACAACTCTGACGAAAATTCCAGATTTCTTAAGTGAACTAAAAAGTACCTTTAAGCCGAAACCGGTTTGGCTCAGTGGATAGAGCGTCGGCCTGCGGACTGAGGGGTCCCGGGTTCGATTCCGGTCAAGGGCATGTACCTGGGTTGCGGGCATATCCCCAGTGGGAGATGGGCAGGAGGCAGCTGATCGATGTTTCTCTCTCATCGATGTTTCTAACTCTCTATCTCTCTCCCTTCCTCTCTGTAAAAAATCAATAAAATATATTTTTTTAAAAAAAAGTACCTTTAAAAAGAAATGATTTCTGTGTGTTGGGTTTTCTGGCATTAAAATAATTTTTAAAAAGCTGTTACCATGGCCCAAGAGAATTCCACACATGGAATGTAAGGGTCATGACAAGCTTAATAAATGCCATAAAGATACTCTGAAAACAACCCAACAAGATAGACTTATGCATAGTCCTTGCTCCTCATTTAGTAGCCTACACACAAGGAGTCAGTGGCTAATGAGCTCACTGCATTTTCAAACTGAGCAGGTTCTAGTTGAAATGTTAGGTCTTCAGTTATGATCAGGCTGTTTATAGGGCAGCCTCCGTCCGTGGTCTGTAAACCACGGCTCACGAGCCACATGCGGCTCTTGCCCCTTGAGTGTGGCTCTTCCACAAAATACCACGTGCGGGCGCGCACGTACAGTGAAATTGAAACTTCGTGGCCCATGCGCAGAAGTCGGTATTTTGTGGAAGAGCCGGTATTTTGTGGAAGAGCCACACTCAAGGGGCCAAAGAGCCGCGTGTGGCTCGCGAGCCGCAGTTTGCCAACCACTGGATCCCTAAGGACCTAGTTAAAGCCTTGAGTTATATAATTGCTGAGTGTGATTGGTTGATGAACCCAGGGAGATGTTTCCATCTGAGATCTCTTCACCCCACCCAAGAGAATGACTTGATATGGAGAGCAAAACTTTCTTCTGGATTGCCAGTATTACAGCTGCTCAAGGTCTGTGCCTTTAAGAGGGAATAAACTCTTAATCCAAGTAGCATTCCCAAGCAAGAGGCTCATCTGCAATGGAGCTCATCTGCATGGGCTGTCGACCATGCCTCCAAGGTTTCCAGCAGGTTGTGTAGTAGTTGCAGGTCAAAGTGCTAACTAAACATGGGGATATTTATTTCTCCCAAAGTAGAATGAAAGTGATTTTTTTTATCCTCACCTGAGGATATTTTTTCCATTGATTTTAGAAAGAATAGAAGAGAGGGAGGGGGTTGGAGGGAAAGAGAGAGAAAGAGAGATGCGAGGCATTTTCAATTGGTTGTTTCCTGCACAACCAGGGTTGGGATCAAACCTACAACCCAGGTACGTGCCCTTAACTGGGAATTAAGCCTGCGACCTCTCAGTATGTGAATGGACACTCTAACCAGCCAGGGCAATAGATGTTTTTATTTCATCTCTATCCCTAACCATTTCTCTGTTTCTGACTATCTATGTTATTATGATGAATTAGAAATTACATCTGATTTTTACTTGCTATAATATTTTTCAAAATAATTTCAGAAGTTTTAAACATAAAAATACCTAAGTGGTCCTTATTTTCAAATTCTTCCTAAGTAAATTTGGGTGTTTTATAAAATTAACTTTTTAATTAAAAAGTCCTTTATGAGCCCTAGGTGGTTAGGGTCAATGCATAGAGTGTCGGCCTGTGAACTGAAAGGGCCCAGGTTTGATTCCAGTCAAGGGCACATGCCCGGGTTGTGGGCTCGATCCCCAGTGGGGGACTTGCAAGAGGCAGCCGATCAATGATTCTCTCTCATCATGGATGTTTCTATCTCTCTCTCCCTCTTCCTTCCTCTCTGAAATATATATATATATTAAAGTCCTTTATAAAAATTTTTGCAAAATTAAATTTTAATGTTTTAATGAAAATTCTGAAACACTAAGGCTTAATCTCTGAAGATGACTACACTAAAGAAAGTACACAAATGGATCCCAAATCATTAACTCGTAGAAAGGAGTATTGCCATTAAAGCTAAGAAATTGTATTTTGTCTTCTGGATGAGTTCCTTTACTTATTTCTCCTCTTTTTTTTTTTTTTTTTTTTTTTTTTTAGTTGACATACAATATTACATTAGTTTCTGGTGTACAACATAGAGATTAGACATATTTCTCCTCATAGGTTATTAAGAAAGGTGAGCTAAAAGACTAAATACAGGCAATGCCTGTGCCCTTCATTCTCTGGCGACAATCACAGAGTTGGAATCCAGTACCTGTAGTAACCAGGCATCACAATGTGGACCCCAGCACTCGGCTGGCAGATAGTTGCGGCGTCCTTATCATCCATTTGGCGCACGGCGTCTGTGAAAGGTCCCGTGGCATTGATAACACATTTGGCTCTCACATCAAATTCCTGTCCTGTGGAAGAAAGCAGCATCAATCACACACCGCATTTGTTTCCCTGCTCACGGGTGCTTTGGGTTATTAATTCATCTATTAACTCCACCTATGGCAAAGTATATCGTATACCGCACTAAGGGACATGAGCAGCCAGAGTTATTGAAAAGCCACACAAAGGCTCACACCTGAGTAAATGTTCCAAAGCCAAGTCCAAACTGAGGGACTGGGGGGAGAGCATGCCGCTTTTTCATTTCAGCTCTCAGTTATTTTGCAAAATGCCCGCATCCAAGTGCCAAATATGAAGAAAATGAGATGAGTAAGTAAGCTGCTTTCTCTTTAAAACTCGAATGTGTAAGCAGTGTTGCCGCGAGACAATATGTTTCCCATTGCTGGTTTTGTGTAAAGAAAGGATGCAGTTTTGAAAGGGCGCCTACATGGCCTTAGACTCAGGACAAGAATGAGAGTCTAACCAAAGCGAAGCGATTGACTCTAACGTGCAAATGCACTGTTTATGTCATGGAAAATGATACTTTGAAACTTGCACGTTTATTTTGTTTTAACATGTTTCCGTAAAGAAAACTAAATGCATTCATAGCTGTGGGGGTTTGTGGGCATTTATTACTTTCGCATTTTATTATCATCACTATCAGCATCATTATTTGGGGTAAACTGCCAGGTCCCACAAGGGAAAATTTTCACGTGAAACCAGTCACTGTTGACAATAAGGATATAATTAAGATGACTCTGAAATCTGCTTAAGTCAAATCAAAGTGACAGAAAAATTATAATTCAGTCATTATACAGGCAAGGCAAGATGCGAAGAAGAGCTCCCTGCCAGAGCCTTGGCATACCTGTGAGTATGTCCTTGCACCGCGCGCCGCTCACGCGCTCTTTCCCTGTTTGGGGGTCTGTCTTCTTCAGCAAGCTCAGGACCTCCATGTAATTGGCTGTGGCAGCCCCATACCTGGCAGCAGTGAGAGCAATGGCAAGGTTCATCCGTGCGTCGTTGTGTTGTCCTGCAGCAGGGAAAGAGGAGGGGCAGGAGTCACCTCGAGCCACAGGCTGGTGGTTCAGAAGTGTGTCACAGCAGATATGTCACATCTGTCCCTGTCACCCAGGATATAAATGATGGCTGGTCAGCTCTAGAGGGCAGGATTTAAAAATACACAGTCATTCTCGGTCAGGCATTTACCTGCCACTTCAGCAAGCGCACTTTTGTGCCGTGGAAAGGGCGAAAAATACCCTTTCCTGCAGAGCTCAGACCGATTATCTGAAAGTTAAGCAATAATTATTCTCTCAGTTTGGGGAACATATGTATATGTCAGACTTTTCCTAATACAGACAACCCTTATGCACGAAAGAGAAGCAATTCAAAACTTCAGAATATTTGACACCCCAACTGGTGTTGATTAACAATTTTTATGAGTATGTGCGCTATCTAATATTCAAAATCAAGAGCTTATTCTTCCATACAGAATCTCTGATATTCTATAAAAGGATTTTTTTTTCTGGGTCTGAATTTTGATCAGAGCTCCTTAACATGTAACTTTTTTTTTTTTAATCACACACATAAAAGGTAAGAAATTAAGCAGGGCAAAATTTAATTACAGAACAATTCCTACCTGTATTGTTAAAGATTTATTGCTGAAAAAAATCCTAGTTAAAGAAAACTAAGGGGGAGGAGAAGGGGGGAAAGATGATTAATCACTTTAAAATACTGGCATCACTAGAGACTTTTTCTATTTATTATTGCCAGTGGAGTTAACGCTGACCAGGAAGAATTACTCTACATTGCAGGGGCCAGGTTCTCTGTGCCCTGAATAATTAATTACCCAGGGCTAGATGTATTGAAGCAGGGTTCAAATTCCCACACACTGGGATCAGTTCTATCAAGATAATACTGATAAAGGGATGAATTTGTAATGAATATTGTTGTTGATTTATGTTGCCAGCATACCAAACATTTAGTATAAATGGTTTATGTAAAGTTTCTTCCTTGTGATTCAGTCTGTGCAGAGCCAGAAGCACAACACAGGTAATCTGTTCCAGCTAAAAGGGCAAAGTTATAAAGAGAGAATCGATGGCTGAGATGCCGCCGCCCCTCCCCACAAACATCTTATTCTAAGACCGCTGGACTAATACAACCCGCCAAGAACCTTCCCTTCAAAATGAAATCCTCTTATCAAGTGAAGAGCACATATTAAACCTAAACATGCAGAATGAAAAGTTATTTTATAAAAAAAATTAGTAGAAGGAAAGTAGGAGAAAGAAAACAGCAGCAGCCTTGGGACCTGAGCTAGAAGTAGGAAGAAGGGTAGCATGTCTATCAATTTCAACTTAGCGTGACCCCGAAGTTGCTATTAGAACAGTCAGTAGGTGTATTTAATGTTTAAGAAACCAACTTTTATTAATGTAGGGCTCCTTACTTAAAATTGGAATATATTCCACAAAGTTAAATGCATACAGAATCCAAAGCAACAAAGTAAAAAATCCACTAGAGCCCAGCAGGCATAGCTCAGTGGTTGAGGATCGGGCGACCTAGGAACCAGGAGGTCACGGTTGGTTTCCAGGTCAGGGCACAAGCACGGGTTGCGGACTCGATCCCCAGTGTGGGGCATGCAAGAGGCAGCCGATCAATCTCTCTTCCTTTCTCTCTGAAATCAATAAAATAAAATAAAAACTTTAAAAAAATTCTACTATAGATCTTCTCTTTAAAGAAATTATACATCTAAAGAGGGTGAGTACCCATCCCATCCAATCTTTCTAGTAGATGTATTCACATAACAATGAAACACATCGCGGGCAATTCAAAAAGCCCAGGGCCTGTTAGTGCAGTGGGAAACCCTCACCCACCCAGATGCGCCTTGATGTACACACATGGCAGGTCTCCGGAAAGCCATGTGTGACTCGGCTATTTTGAATCCTACATGAAGTCACTATTCAAAGGAACCAGAACAGAAATCCTATTTATTAAATGACAGATGCCCTTGTAAAATGGTATCTCTATTACACAATCATCTGGTAATAAAGCTCTCTAAGTTCTGAAAATACAAAATCTTTCTTTTAATGCCTTTTAAAATATAAAATCTCACTGGATCCGTACTCGTATAGTTCATCATGCTCTGCGGCTTCTATACTAAGAAAAGCCTTCCTAATTAGCTTTCAAATCCCAATACTTTTCTTTTAATCTTTATTATTGAAAGCATTACTTATGTCCCCTTGTTTCCCCCATTGTGAGATTTTCTTTTCTAGTGGACCTATCTGATCAGACCGCATGAGGTTTAAGTTCACACTGAGTCCCAATACTTTTGAAGGTAAACAAGATCAGGCTCGGTTAAAGTGTGAGGGGGAAACCAGTTCCTTTGCTCCTTCTTTTCCACACCTGCCCTGATACCCAGGAGCACCTGCTTTGACTCGAATCAGGTACGTCACTTATTTATGAAGGGCTTCATAGTATGGCCCTCATCTGCCACATTTCCACTCCCATTATTCTCACTGCCTAGGACTATGAAGTCATTTGCAAATCCCTAAACATCTGTGTTATTTCACAACTTCTTGCCTTCGCCCACATTCATTCTTTTGGCTGCAGTACCATGGTGGCAGCTCTGGGCAATTCCTATTCATCTCTCATGATCTGGTTCAAGCATCTCCCCAAGAAGTCTCCTCTTCTCTGCATCCCTCCAAGGCAACGTTGTTTATTCCTTCTTCTGAGTCAACATTATAGCGTGTACATACCTTTATTATAATCTTTATGATACTACATTCATCCATATATCCATCAGCTTAAAAAACAATTAGCTTTGGCTATGAGTCAGACACTGTGACAAATGCAGGGAGCACCCAGTGGTGAGAGAGATACAGGTGTCTCTAGTCTCATAGAACTTACATCACATTGCAATTACTGTATGATTTGCCATGTTCCCTCATTCCAGTTGTGGGAAGTCAGGAAGCTTTACTTGTTCATCTTTCTTTTTTCTTGTTAGTACCAAACACAGAACAGGTATCCAAGAGGTGTTAAGTGTAGACAAAATCCATAAATAAATAAGATTTATTTATAGCCTTAGATATATAGTCTTAATTTTTTCATAATTATATACAAATTTTATAAAGTTGTTTCATCTATATAGATTTACAGTTTTATCTCTAACTATGGAATGCTTTGTCTGGTGTTAAAGAATTTCAGACCTCAATGAGTTGGTTGCAAGAAATTTTAAGGGGAGCAGGGAAACCCAGAAATGTGTAAAATCTGAACTTAAACCCAAAGTGGGATGAAAGGAGAAATGGTTATGTATGATTCCCTCAAGACTTATCCCACAAGTTTCTCCTTACTCTGCAGGGGAAAAGCAAATCCAGTTATTATAAGCTTCTAGAAATTGATGAATACGTTGAGTTTCCTCTGGGCCCAAGAGCTCACACCTCCACCCAGAAGTTCCCTTCTTTGCAGACATTCAGCTTAATTCATTTCCCTCCTTGGATTCAGGGTAGATCTCCTCCCCTACCCACATTCAAGTCAGCCTGTACCCTGAGATACCCAGATGCTTGCAGTGTGTGCTTCCTGGGATAAGTGGGATATCTTCACTCTTCTTAACTAAATTCCTCCTAGCCCCCCATTCCTGACATTTTGCAAGGTATCTGCATGCCTCCTGTAATTTCGTTTCTGGAGAAAAGTTTCTGACAAACAGTGCATGTCATTGGAATGCGCTACAACAATCTCACCTCCCCCACCCAATTGATCTGCTTATTAAGTTTGGATTTTCCAATCTGTTTCCTCAGAGCCAGGCAACATACTATTCACTAATCAGCGAATAGCTTTACGTTGGCACTTACACAAGTGCCCAGACGGGGACTGTGAAAATCTGTTTCCTACTCTTCTCCTTTTGCACTTGAAATCTTACATATGTGCACACTCTGAACTTGCAGTGCTTCTGAGAGGAAGCACAGAAGAGGTGGAACTATAACTGTTTTCCCTTGTTTAGAAAAACAAAATGTTCAATCAACCCACTGAACAGAATGTAGGTCAGTGGTGGTAGAGAGGGATTTTTGCCTTCATCCTCAATGGCCTCGCACACAGGTTAGTGGGAGATATTTGGGGTGGAAAATATTTTAGGAAGCAATCATAGGATAGACCTCAAGTATAAATATTTTGGAGACATAGCAATATTGCTCTACTCAGAGGGTTTCAAAGTTTGGCAGCTAAGTTATCATGTAAAACAGTTGGAAAAAGAGAAGTAGTCATTGAAAGTGTAAACGGTATGAAGAATGAGTAAATATGAAAATCCCTAGGTAACAAATTACCTGGCATTTTCCTGGTCCTTCGGATCTAAAATTCTACAGTGCTGTGAAATTCTACATACAATCTTATTTTAATACAGCATACTTTAAAATGGGCATGCACAGTGCACAGACCTATCTACACGGACCCAGGAATTTGTACAGAAAGTCTAATTGTTAGAAAAAACAGTCCTTGATTAAAATAACACCTGTCGAAAAATTCATAGGCAGTTAAAATTGCCACAAGAAATGTTGAGAACATTCCCTTCCATTTCCCTGTGCCCTGACCCTGCTTCTGGAAGGGGGGAAAAAGGATGCATGAAAGAAAGAATACTTCCTCAAAGATTTCATCCCATTTCCAACAAAACGCACAGGGCACGCTTCATTGTCTCAGACTGACAGTGTCACAGTGACCTCTCGGCAGCTTCTCTTTAGCAGTTAGGCAAAGACAATTCAAAGGCTAACAACCCACCAAACTCAAGCTGACTTCATATAATCATTATATTTAAAATTTCCCTGTCTAATGGGAAGAGTGCAGACAGAGGCAGAGTGAAAAGGTGTGTGTGTGTGTAAGGAGATGACTAAATTCTGGTTTAAGTACATATGATGAATACACGTGAAGAGGAAAACAAAATGAGAACCTATTTCAGAGTAAACTACGACAACAATGCATTTCCATAAGTAAATTACGGCTAGTGGCAGGGGTGAGGGAAACAGTTCAGCACCTCACAAGACATATCGGTGA